TGGAGATAATATAGGGTGTGATCCTGCACCAATGATCCATGCACAGAGGTCCTTCGACACACAGATCCCGCCCTTCAGCCACCTCTGCGACACTAGCTGCCCCTAGCCCCAGACCCCCCCAGGAGGTGGCTACATAAGCGAAGGGGCAGAGCATGGGTGGAGCAGGGCTGAGCACTGTCCTGCCACCAGCATGGCGGACATTCCCCATGAAAGTTAATACAGCCTACTTTTAGCTGTCTCCGGCCCCAGCCTCCAGCTTGGGGCTGCCCCAGGAAACAGCAAGGGTCTTGATTTAGCACAGACTTTGTGCCAGCAGTGTGCTTCCACCACTGAAGAAAGGAACAGCAGGCCCACAGCATCCTGCAGTGGCGCAGAGGGTAAGGGGGCCTCCTGGAATTCACTGTGGAACGTTGAATGAAGGGATCATAGGAATTATAAAATTCAGATGGAAGAGACCTATTGGGTGAGTTAGGCCTGTGGGTCCCACTTTTTTCAATCCACAAACCACAGGATGGCCAAAAAGTTGTCCCACAACCCATCATATCCCACAGAGCCGCAAAGGATTTTGAGATTTAGGTCAACATAGGGTCAGATGAAAGGGGGGGTGGATTCGTAGGCTGGACATTGGTTGCGCTGCAAGGGTGAGCGTTTGTGGAGGGGTTGGTACTGGAGCCAGGTGTGAAGGAGCTGGTCCTACCAATGTGAGTCCTCTGTACAGCATGTGGCTTGCCCATTCAAAAAGTTTGAAAGAAACTTCTCAGCAGAACAGCCAGAGGTATTCACGTGAACATCACAGTGACCCTATTTAACCCTTCCAGCCATTTGTCAAAGTGCTTAATTTCCATTTTAAGACATGACGCGATTAAAAGAAATATTGAGCAAAGGTTAATCAGGATGGAGAGCATTGTAAGAAATAAGTGGGGTTTAACCAAAAATTGCTCCTGCCAACTTTTTACCCCTTTTATAAAAGTGGCTTTTATTTCTGAAATGCTGGAGAGTTTGCAAGGGAAATTTACTGATTAAAGTTGCTGCTTGATTACATAAGTGAATAATGCTCCATCACACATTCTTCTGAGGGAAGCTGAAAAGCCCATAACTATTCCACCTATTATTATTGGATGATAGGAACAACTGTACTCAGAGCTCCACTGTGTTAGGTGCTGAACAAACACACAGTGGCCTGGTCTACACTGGGGGGTGGGGGGATCGATCTAAGATATGCAACTTCAGCTACAAGAATAGCGTAGCTGAAGTCGACGTATCTTAGATCGACTTAGAGACTTAAAAGAGAACTGGATAAATTCATGTAGGTTAAGTCCATTAATGGCTATTAGCCAGGATGGGTAAGGAATGGTATCCCTAGCCTCTGTCTGTCAGAGGGTGGAGATGGATGGCAGGAGAGAGATCACTTGATCATTGCCTGTTAAGTTCACTCCCTCTGGGGCACTTGGCATTGGCCACTGTCAGTAGACAGGATACTGGCCTAGATGGACCTTTGGTCTGACCCAGTACGGCCGTTCTTATGTTCTAGAATCACTTACTTCGCGTCCTCGCAGCGCGGGATCGATGGCCACCGCTCCCCCATCGACTTTGTTTCCGCCTCTCGCCGAGCTGGAGTTCAGCACTTGATGGGACAGCGATCAGGGATCGATTTATCATGTCTACACTAGACGAGATAAATCGATCCCCGATAGATCGATTGCTACCCGCCGATCCGGCGGGTAGTGTAGACATACCCAGTGAGAGATTGAAGACACCCAGGGGCTTAGGCAAGACAAAGGCTGGGGAAAAGCAAGTGTTACCCCATTACTGAGATGAGGAACTCGGGTACAGAGTCTGAGTGACTTGCCCGAGATCATACACAGCCAGAGCTGGGAACTGAATTCCTATTTCCCCAGCCAGGGCCCATCCAGAAGACCATTCTTCTACCCAATGGAATCACAGGGTTGAGTTCATTCATCTATGTCAAGACGATCTCATTGAGAGGCAGCCAGATGCGCTGCCCAAAGAATCAGCTTGATCACTTCCTAAGAGGAGTTTAGTTTGCTATACATCCCTTACTGGGACTACAGGTGAGCCGATCTATAGCTGCGGACCTCATTATTTAGCATGTCTCGGTTTCATGGTCAAAGGGGCTCTGAACTGAGTCAGCACAAACATTTTGCAATAGGAAAGTGGGGAGGGAGAATCAGTGAGGGCTGGTGGTACCCGCATCCCACTCTAGCTGGCAAGAGCTGCCGGGGAGAAGGCTCAGCAAACAAGGTGTCACAAAATGCTGTTTGAGGCATCGGCCGTGTCCTCACATAGGTCTGTACAGGTCACAAGCTCTCAGGCTTTTCCATACTGTGATCTTATGCCACAACCGAAAAAAGCTTTGGGACCCCCCGACCATCTAGCCATCAAGCTTGGGGGGAGGGTCATGACCCCTAGAAACCTGTTCCTGAGCCCCTGGGACAGAGCCTACTACAATGAGGGCACATTTCAGTCTTTCCCCAGCTCGAACGGCGTTACAGTACCAAGTGCTACTTTCATGAGTGCAGGTTTGTATAATTTTTGGTGGTGGTCAGAACAGGTCTAAGTCCTGTCCCTGCCCCCACCTTGTAAGCCGATATATATATTTAAAATAATGTGAAAATGGACTGGGAACAGTAAACGTTTAATGTAGGGTGGGGCCGGGAAGTTTGGGGTGTGGGAGGGGGCACAGGGCTATGGAAGAGGGTTGGGATGTGGGGGTGAGGGCTCAGGCTGGGGCTGAGGGGTTTGGGGTGTGGGAGGGGGCTCAGGGCTGGGGCAGGTGATTGGGATGTGGGGGGGGTGAGGACTCTGGCTGGGGGTGAGGGCTCTGGGGTGGGGCCGGGGATGAGGAGTTTGGGGTGTGGGAGGGGGCACAGGGCTATGGCATGTACATATAGAAAGCCTGTCAACTGTGACTTTGCACAGAAGAGAGATCCAACCCTCAGTCAAAGCAGCAGTAACCCAGCGATAGATGTTCAGAGGCTGAGGTAAAACAGAAAAAATCCATTTTAAGATGCAGTTTGAAAGGAGCAGGAGAGTTGACAGCTCAAAGAGATCCAGACAGGCTGATGCCTGTGTGAAATCTCAATCACACAAGCAGCACGGAGCTCCCAGGGACACGTGTAAAGTGTGATATTCCTTGCACAATCTTGCACCACACAGGACAATGAAAGCCCATCTGACCTTTGAACTTTATACCTTTGCTAGAGAGATGTGGGAAGTTTAAGTAGCTGGAGGCTGAGAGCTTCTTCTATTGTCTATGTATTTAGAAACCAGGCTTCCCAGGTAAATAAGCCCTTACATCTGGCATAAAGAAATTGCAGAGTTGATCCAAAAAAATCCAATCACGTTGGCACAAAAAAATCTCAAATGAAACCATTTTAATTTTCTCACATACAATTTCAATTTTTGATGAAAAAATTTGAAAAAGTAAGAGTTTGTTTCATTTTTGTTAAAGATTCAGTCAAAATCAAACTGTTTTCATGAACTATTTCAATTTGGATGTAGCTGCATTTTTTATTGAAGAAAAATCAGTCTGAGAAATTTTTGAGCCACATAGGAAATACATTCTTCCTCCTTCCACTTCTACCCTTCCCTTCCCACCTGGAGTGTCCTACACCTTGTGTATAGGACTGTATTCAGGAGAAATGACATTGTGAATTTTCAGTCTACAGAATGGGAATGGCCAAAAAATACAGATAGATACAGGATCCTCAGCTGGTGGAAGTCTGCATAGCTTCTTTGATTTCAGTGGAGCATCAGCGATCTCTAGAAGCGAGGATCTGGCCCTATACTTAGCCAGGAGTGAAATTCACTTGTTTCCGTATACACCTCTACCGCGATATAACGCTGTCCTCGGGAGCCAAAAAATCTTACCGCATTATGGGCGAAACCACGTTATATCGAACTTGCTTTGAGCCACCGGAGTGCACAGCCCCCATCCCCGGAGCACTGCTTTACCGCGTTATATCAGAATTCGTGTTATATCCGGTCGCGGTATATCGGGGTAGAGGTGTATTTATTTTATGTATGCCTTCAAAGACAGTCTGCCTAGTTAGACAATAAGAAGCAAACAAAAGCTGGGGCTGAATCCTGTTCTCAGCTATAGCAGGTGGAAACCTGATGGAGCTCCACTGAAGACTTTCTTACTACAAAGTTACACCTGCGAAACAGAGCAGAATTTGGCCCAATGCTGAGACATCCATTTAAAAGAAATAGTTGTGCATCAAAACCTCACAGAGCAGACAAATTCACAGTAGGGAAAGTTACACTGCGCTATTCCATGTCACGTCAGTTTCAGCTTTTAGAAATAAGTACGGAGGCTTTACACCTATTCCTGGATGTTAATATTTCATGGATTATTTATTCCTCCATCAACCTCTCTGCTCACACACTGGGCAAGCTGATAGAAAGACTTCTTCCCTTACCCCCACCCCCTGCTTCTTTTTTACTATGGAAACAGCCTTTTATCCAATGCATTATAAATGCTCCACCACCAACTCCCTTCCCTCAATCACCCCCCTCTCAAACCGAATCATACAATCCACCCATCACTTAAGTTTTTTCCCATGCCCCTTTGTATCCTCAACAGGTTAGGAAGAATTTGGCTGCCTCATACCCAGGGAGCTGACTGGGGTTGTTACGAAGCACAGGTCCTTTTCACTTCAACAAGGCAGTTTGGGGCTGCTTTAGGACCTTACAGAACCCCCTGCTTTCAAATAATCCATTCACCCTCTAGCGAAAGCTTTGTCACTGGTTCCCTCCATTCTCTGGCTCTGCTAGGCATTGTTTCTCTCTGCAATTCATGCAGGGAGCAGGTCACTCATTTGCTGTCGGATCACATCCAATGCACTCAAAGTGTAAAGGAAAAATCAGAAGGAAATTTCCCCCCTTCCAAGTATAAAGCAGACAGGAAAGAGCATTGATCTATGTATTTAATCAAGCAAGACGGCAACTTTACAGCCACAAGGAACAAGCCAACTTACCTCTTCTTCAAACCCATGTGTTATCTTCTTCTGCGGATTCCCTTGAATTGCTGTGACCTTTGCATGCCACACTCCTGTAACTGAACAGTGACACCACAGTATTTCCGAAAGTATTAAAGAAAGGCTGATGGAGAGCCCTGCCCACAGTGGGAGGAGCCTTCTGCCATCGGTGACTTAAATCAATTCAATCCAAAGGCTGAAAATTAAAATATAATCATACTAAATCATCCAACGTGGGCAGCTGCTAACCATATGGCTCTGGGGGAAGAGGGAGGGGAAAGAGAAGCCAAATTTGAGTTTGAGTCTTTTCTCTCCCCACACACGCCCACACAACACACGAAAAGATTGGTATTAAAATTCTGCGCTAACAGAAGGAACCATCGAAAGCCCTTGGTCTAAAGAAAATATTCCAAAGAAGATTTGGGAAAGAGACGTCACTGCTGATCTTAAAAACTCAGAACAACAACAGCAAAATAATATTTCCTGACAAATTGGATCCCTCTTTGTAATCTTCAAGAAGGAATATGTTGTACCGGATTTCAAGAATTTAACATGAATTTTGCATTACTTTTATTGTTTTCAGCTTTAATATCTAAATCCTATTAGCAAATGGCCTTGTCTGGAAAGAGGCAAGGGACGGGTCAGAGAAACAAAGACGTTTATGTGTTGGCATTTTGTATCCCTCAATGAGTTTTTGAGCTTGAATTTGCCATGGCCTTTGAGACAGGCACTTGTAAAGGTTCTCAGACTAGAAGGCTATGCCGCCTCCGCCAGCCCCTCCTCTCAGCCAGCCCACGGCTGATCAAGAGTCTAAGGCAATCTGACCCTGTTGGCCCTGGAGCTCTGTTTTAGAAATACTAATTGTGCAGTACTTGTCCTTGTTGTCACACACATTGGTTTCTCCTCTCCTTCTACAGAGCTTGGAACAGAGTCTCTCTAAAGCAAGCCACACAAGGTGGGGAAGCGGGGGGTTGGAATCTGGGAGCATGTACCTTTCTTGTGGACCCAGCAGCATCTGCAGAAATTAAGCTTCCACTGTTTAAAAAAAAAAAAATAGTTAAGCTATCCCTTTCTGATTGCAAAGGAGACCTTCTAAATCAGGGGTGGGCAAACTTTTTGGCACGAGGGCCACATTGGGGTTGCGAAACAGTATGGAGGGCCGGGTAGGGAAGGCTGTGCCTCCCCAAACAGCCTGGCTCCTGCCCCCATCCTCCCACTTCCCGCTCCCTGACTGCCCCCCTCAGAACCTCTGACCCATCCAACCCTCCCCCCGCCACTCTTTGTCCACTGACCGCCCCCTCCCGGGACCCCCGCCCCTAACCGCCTCCCTGGAACCTCACCCCCTATGCAACCCCTTCTCCCTGTCCTCTGACTGCTCCGACTCCTATCCACACCCCTGACAGGCCCCCCGGGACTCCCACACCTATCCAAACCCTCTGTTCCCAGTCCCCTGACTGCCCCCCCCGAACCTCTGCCCCAGCCAACCGCCCCCTGCTCCCTGTCCCCTGACTGCCCCCCCAGGACTCCCTGCCCCCTTACCACGCCGCTCAGAGCAGCAGGAGCTTGCAGCCCCACTGCCCGGCTAGAGCCAGCCACACTGCTGCGCTGCCTTGCAGAAGCGGCAGGCAAGAGCGCTGATGGAGCGGCAAGCTGAGGCTGGGGGGAGGGAGGACAGCAGGAGAGGGGCTGGGGGATAGCCTTCCTGGCCGGGAGCTCAGAGGCCAGGCAGGACGGTCCCGTGGGCCGGATGTGGCCCACAGGCCGTAGTTTCCCCATCTCTGTTCTAAATGCAACCTGATGTAGTCTCCAGACTAAAATGGTAATTCTGAAAGGGCTGAACGGCCATCGTTCATCTCAGTTGTGTGTTCACTCTGAAACCTAGTGATGATAATGTAAACTGTAGTACTATTTAAAAGGTAGCATTTGTTCACAGCACAGGAATGGTTGCTAAGATACCAGAGTTTCCCTTTAGATTTAGAATAGTACATAACTGTGGGGATTCCTGTAGTGTCTGTTGAACTGTACTTTTATTGAAAATGATTTTAGCTGGAACACCCAGCTATTTTGGGACGATGGTCATTGCTTGGAATTGCATATGGAATCTGAGTAGCATCACTTGTTTTAAAGTCTCACCTCTGAAAATGGATATAAACATGGCTGGAAAATGTGAGCTCAGAGAGAGACTATGAAGTTGAAAGAACAATAGTGCAGTTGCTATTTCAAGTTGTCTAGAGTTGTGACAAGTAGTTAACTGACCCGATTCAACTTACTGTCTTTTCAAACTGTTACACTCAGTTTACAATGGCACTGGGCCACACTGGGATGGGCCCATTACGGAGCCGTCTAACCCATCCTCACACTGGGTCTGGCCCCTCGCCTGGGGCAGTCCAGCGCCCAGGCCTTGCTGTGTGAATGGCTCCCAGTAAGCAGGTCCTGCTCGCCACCCCACAGTCCAGCGGACACAGTCACCTCCCAGAGGGGCTGGTTAGTGCAGCCAGGGGGTCGGGCACTGGGGAGTGGGTCTCTAGGGGATCTGTGGGGGGCACTAGGCAGTAAGGGGTCGGAGGCGCTGGGCAGTGGGGGAGGTTTATGTGTTTCGGGGTGCTGGATATAGGAAGTTTGGGGGGTCTCTGGACAGGAGAGTGCTGAGCATATGGGTCTGTGGGGGGTTTCAGCAGGGGTGCGCTGGCCATAGGGGTCTGTAGGTGGGGGTGGTGGTATGAAGGACACTGTGCAGTTGTGGTGGGGGGTCTTGGTGAGGAGCGCTGGGCATAGCAGGTCTGGGGGGCACTGGGCATAGAGGTCTAGGGGTGCTGGGTGAGAGGACGGTGTGGCACGCAGTACAGGCCTGCCCCCAAAGGCAGAGCAGGGCCGGGCAGGTCAGTGTGCATCTGATGACTGCCAGTTTGTAAACAGTGCCCTCGTGCCGGGCTGAGCATAGTCGGGTTGCCCACACCATACTGTGCCCCATTGCCCCGACCGGCCCCTCCACACCAGGCCCCATTACCCCCATGGGGGCCCACAAATATGTTTGGCTCTGGGCCCACAAAAGGTTAATCCGGCCCTAGTTACAGTATAGTATGAAATAACCCAGGATTCTTATAATGGATATGTTAAAAAAAATCCCACTGCTCTGTCACGAAGGTATGTTTTGTAAGCTTCAATTTTTAAAGGTAGCAAGCACAGGGCCAATAAATGAATAAGATAATCAGGTCTTATCTACCCTGGAAGGCTCTCTGGACATGTAGAGAAGTAGTGGGCAGACATGCCAAACCCGCAAAAAAGATGCAGAAATTGGGCTTGTTTTTGGCTTAGAATCATAGAATATCAGGGTTGGAAAGAACCTCAAGAGGTCATCTAGTCCAACCCCCTGCTCAAAGCAGGACCAATCCCCAACTAAATCATCCCAGCCAGGACTTTGTCAAGCCTGACCTTAAAAACCTTTAAGGAAGGAGATTCCACCACCTCCCTAGGTAACCCATTCCAGTGCTTCACCACCCTCCTAGTGAAAAAGTTTTTCCTAATATCCAACCTAAACCTCCCCCACTGTAACTTGAGACCATTACTCCTTGTTGTCATCTGCTACCACTGAGAACAGTCTAGATCCATCCTCTTTGGAATCTCCTTTCAGGTAGCTGAAAGCAGCTATCAAATCCCCCCTCATTCTTCTCTTCTGCAGACTAAACAATCCCAGTTCCCTCAGCCTCTCCTCATAAGTCATGTGCTCCAGCCCCCTAATCATTTTTGTTGCCCTCCGCTGGACTCTTTCCAATTTTTCCACATCCTTCTTGTAGTGTGGGGCCCAAAACTGGACACAGTACTCCAGATGAGGCCTCACTAATGCCGAATAGAGGGAAATGATCAAATCCCTTGATCTGCTTATACAGTCCAAAATGCCTTTAGCCTTCTTGGCAACAAGGGCACACTGTTGGCTTGTGAGTTGCTTGTTGGCTAGTTTTTGGCTTGTAGCTTGTTTGGCTTGTAGCTTGTTGCTTCTTTTTCTTGATCGGCTCCTGGCAAGCTGGGGCAAGGAGGGAAGAGAGTCAGGGGTGCACAGCGGGCCCACCACAGTCCCAGACTGCACGCCGGGGGAGATCTAGGCACAGAGTGTTGGGGTTCTTAGGGATTGGCTTGTTTTGAAATGGGATTCACTTGATTTTTGGCTTATTGTGAAAGTCCGGGTGCTAATTTACCACGTGAAAGTTGGCAACTGTGCTAGTAGGGTGTCAGCACAAGTAACAAGAAAGTGAATCCTGAAGTCCAGGCTGGAGGCCTTTCTGGAAGATAGGCTTTAGTTGAACAGAATTACTGTGCCTGAGGAGTCACTGGACGAGGCTCTCAAGCCGGTGTTACATAGGAGGTCAAACTAGATGATCTAACGGTCTCTTCTGGCCTTAGATGAACTGTGATCTCTAGTCAGATTCTGTAACACTCCTGCCATTCCTGATATTTCTAGAATTAAAAGAAACAAGAAAGAAAATTAAGCCACATTTCAGGCTCTCTTTATATATCAAAGAGGCAAAAAATAGACAAAAATAGCTTGATCCTTCGTTTTTACCATATAGCGATAATCAACTGGTCTGTGCTAACAGCTGTACTGATGCTGATACAGGACCAAAGAAGCAAACAAAAGCAAAGTCACATGGGATTGTGCATCAGAAAAGACCAGCCATCAAGGAGGAAGTCAGTGAGAAATCACTAAGCCACATTCATCCCGGGTATTGCACCCCTGAAGTCAAGAGAGACACACCAAGGATGAGGCTGGCCCAATAGAGACAGTTTGGACAATGCTCCTGGATGTACCAAGCTCTTTTCTGTGAACTAAAATGTCATTTTTAAAGATCTAATGTACTGCTCACTGTGGTATATCTTAGCACCACACAACAATTAACAGTGGCACTGAATGTGCCCTAGGTGAAGTGCTCTCACAGCCTCCTGGTTCCCAAGGTGCAAGGTTTAAGGGGCAGATGCTTTTTACCTTTCCATATTCCTTTCCTTTTGACTTTTATCTTCATCTCCAGGCTCTCCAGTTGCTGGCTGGTCCTGGAACACTCCATACCGTGCCCATCACAGTGGTATCAGAGCATCTTATCTAGTTTTTTTGGGGGGGGGAGATTGTCTTGCATTTAGACCCAGACATGGT